TACGACTTTAGCTGACTTGAAGCACCGACGTTCCGGGAAGTCTGCAGTCTATGAACATGTTCAAGATCGTTCTCGACGTTACATTCCATTCGATAGACCACAAAAACAATAAAATTAAATTCAAACCCAAGCATACCACTGCAAGACTTCAAGATACTATAAGTAAGCTCATTTTACGTAGATCTGATTAAAAATTAATGATTTTCAAAAACTGAAGATAGCCGGGCTAACTATGACATCGACGTCAAACAACTCAGTCCCCCCCCCCCCCCCCACACACACTGTGACTATGGGAGCTGTAAAGCACTCCAAACGTCGGAAAATAAAAAGTTTAATTAAACGTGATAGAATCCGTAAAAATTAGTTTCATTTAAATCTGAATATTTTTTTTCTGCTTGGAAGACTTGAGATGTAGTCTATGACTGTCCGCTAAGTCATGCTGTTGTCAAAATCAATCAAATCAACATAATGTGAAAATTTTTGTGAATAAAATACGCATCAGACTAGGCTTCATGACCTAATACTTTTGTTAGTATAAACAACAATCTATAATATTATCAACGTCGCCGACGTAGAGAGAGAATCACTCTACGGTCGCCGGTAGTTTTCTCTGTCTACGGTTGCGCTAGCACTTCTTACTAGTTTGTGGTCTACGGTCGCCGGTTGTTAGGCTGGCCACATACACACGTAATTCCGTTTCGGCATTCCGTTTCGGAAGTCCAAACGGGTCGGCCACACACATACGGAATCCCGTTTTTCCCGCAAAATATCGAATGGAAAACTACCGTACGTGTGTGACGGGTCATAGATTTTATATGAACTTGCTGCGTTCGGAATCTCGAATCGGAGTTCCGAAACGGAATTCCGTATGTATGTGGCCGGCCTTAGGATTTAATTTACCAAAACTGCGGGAAATATCAAAAAGATTGGGTATTTAATGTGAAGAGAGGCACCATGCGGGAATAATGCGTGGATTTTAAAATGTTACCAATTCAAAGTAATATTTTAATATAAACATTCTTCAACTACATACATGGATCAACAAATTTACGAAATATACGTAAATTTATGAAATATACGTTCTCAAATTTAATAATTGTTTTTTTCAAATGTATCAATGGAGAGAAAATTTTGTGTATGTATTGAAAAACCTTAAAAACAGAAAACTAAAATGGCCTTCATACAAATACTCATATATACCAGGCCATAGATAATACACTATATACCAGGGAGGAGTGTTGGTATTGCGAGATGCCGCTCAGGGCAGTCTAAAATTTAATCCTTCCAACAATACATTAACCAAAAAATACGGCATATTAGGACAGTGACTGAACATTTTTAAATGAAAACTTCTTTAGCTGCGTTGAGCGATTTTTGGTAAGGGATGAAATTATGGGTTCGCGTCACCGATGACCCAGACATGACCCCGATGATCGTGAACTATTGCGCCAAAGAGTATAGTAACTGTCCTATAAGCGTCCTACAAGCGCAAGTCAAACTAGCGACGCGTAGTATGGCGGCGTGTGTACATGTTTGCGCATATATCATTGAGTTTTCACTTCTGTCGGCAGTCATATAGACTGAGACTGCCTCTGTTTTTGTTTTTTTTCTTATCCAGTTATTAAATTTATATTCATTATCATTTTAATTATGAGTCTTTGTATTAATGTTAGTCATTTATTGTTAATAATAAAAATTGATTTTTTTTTTGTATAGATATGTGTTTATTTTCTTGAAATAATTTTTTAAATCAGGATTAAGTTCTCCTTAAATTCGGGGATTTTGACCAATGATTATTAGGAATCTGAAAAATAGGCATTAGCAACACTAAATTATACTCTGGAAAGTAGGGATGGGCAAGGGAAAGAAATATATCGATATATATCGAATCTATATTTTTAAACAGTATCGATATACAGGGTCATTTTTAATTTACTGAAGACCTTTTGGGAATATATTGGTTACATCATTACAAACAATTTTAGTGAGATCACTCTTCACAGAATATAATACATTTACGAAAAAACTACTTCTAAGGTTTTGCTGTATTTTGTAGTACCTAAACAACGTCAGAATAAATCGTCAAAGAAAATGCCTAAATAAGGCATTTTTACACTTGATACAGTATCAAACATTGTGTTGAAATCATTAAACATAGTTAAATTAGCAAATGACATTCAAAAAAAAATCCACAAATTTAAAATTTATAATAAGTAAGAATGACCGCCGGGCCGGTCGACGCCCGCGCTCAGCTGATTGCGTTGCGAGTAGGGTTACCAGATGAAAAAATTAAAAGTCCGGAGAAAAGGGCTGATTTCCATTTAAAAATCCTGAGATTGTTTTACAGTTTGAGAAGAAAACCTTACTTAAAAAGGTATCTTCACATATTAAGTATGATAAAACTGTTTAAGTACCTACTTGGATAAATAAGTTTTGATTTTAATTGTGGAATTATTACCAAAGGAAAATTATTTTTAGTTTGTTTAACTTTTTATTAAGAGATCTTTTAAAATGTAAGCTGTATTATATTGAAAGTTCTAAAAATCCTGAGATTTCATGAGATTTGCAAAATCCAGCCGCAATCCTGAGAAGTCTAAAAATCCTGAAATCACAGGACAAATCCTGAGATATGGTAACCCATGTTGAGAGAGCCTACTAAACCATTCATCACTGTGCCTATTGCACCAGAGCGCCACTTTAAATGACTTTACATTAACTTTTCATATACTTCTTTATTTTGCATAAAACCATTTGATGAACTATTTGATTCTTTTATTAATTTCTTTAAGAATTAATAGACATTCTTTAATAGACATTTAGGTAGTTTTTTTTACGAAATCTGTTTGCTAGCAACTCTGCCTGCATCCAAGAGGCAACGCCTCAACGTCGCACATGCGGCGGCCCAAGGCCAAGCCAACGATATATTATAACGTCGACACAGGTGTCACCGTCATCAAAGGCGCCGCCTGCCCTTTTCAGTTTGCAGGCATCGATTTGGTGACCGATGTTTGCAGCACGTGCAAATTAAATGAGTATTATTAACTATTTTTTTATTTAATGTAAGTTGTATTTAAAAAATGGATGCGGGTTAAAATAATTACATATATTACAATAAAATATTTATAATGATTAAATACAAATTAACAGTAATTGAATAAAGATATTAAGGTATAATGGTTTAATAAAAATATTAAAATACAAATTTAAAAATTAGACTTACCTAGGTACTTGTCCGCGGATGGCGGTGAGTATCGCGCACATAGCGTTCAAAATAATGACCTCCACATTCTATGCATAGGTGACACCTAAAACTTAACTGTTCACCGACACGAGATAATACTTGATGATTCATTTTGATTTGATCGTATGCCCAAATTATTTTTTCTTTCATCATGTCGCGGGTTTCGAATGCGCGACCAGTATACACTAATGCCATGCTTTACATGCCCCCACAAATAAAAATCCATTGGTGTGATATCTGGCGATCTGGGAGGCCATGCACAAGGCCCGTCACGACCGACCCAACGACCAGGGTATTCTCTGTTTAAATAATCCTTAACTTGGCGAGCATAGTGTGCCGGCGCCCCGTCAAGTTGGTAATACATATTGCGTAGAGATGCAAGTGGTATGTCCTCTAACAACTCTGGCAGCGTGTCGGTGAGAAAACTGTGATAGCTTTCACCGTTTAATCTTTCTATGACGATCGGGCCCAGTAACGTTGTATTAATAACGCCTGCCCACACATTGACACTAAACCGGTGTTCAAAGCTATGCGGTCTTGGTTCATGTGGATTTTCATAGCACCACAAGTGTTCATTGTGCGAATTAAATAGTCCTATTCTGCCAAATGTTGCTTCATCAGTCCATAAATTGTTGGCTCGTTCAGCAGCTAGTAACCAGTTACAAAATGTACCTCGCGCTGGTTTGTCAGCTTCGCTGAGTTCATGAACACTATGCAAGTGGAAAGGGTACTTCCCTTCATTGTGTATGAAACTCCATGCGTAGTACTGTGACACATTGAACTGTCGGGCTGCCTCATAAGTGCTCGCTGCTGGATTTTGTTCAAAAAACTGCAGTATGTCTTCCTGCTCACGTACTGTGCGCCGTGGTGGACGACCACGATCGATTGATACAGGCTGGAATTGCCCGTAATCTCGCAATCGCTGTGTAGTACCTAGCATCGTAGTGTAGCTCGGTGCACGTGAGTTGGGAAATCGCCTTGAATATTCACGGCAGGCTTCACTAACGTTATCATTGCAAATTGCTAAAATTCGCACCATTTCGCTATACTCAATATTTGAGTATCGGTATGCCATTGTAACAACGTGTAACGTTCGCGATATTTATCTCGCAACGGAAGGAGAAACGTCGCGGGCGAACCAAAGGCGACTGACGACATAGATAATTAGGTCAAGTTCAAATGAGCAAGCGCCGCCTCCTACACCCCTCCACCCCTACCCCGCCACGCGTTTTATTTTGCTATTTAGGACTATTGCCGTTTAGAAAGTCCAATTAAAATATTTTTATTTTTGTATGAAAATAAAAATTGAAGAAATATAATTTCTTTTCTTACAGATGTTGTTGTTATGATGTAAATAATATATTCCCAAAAGGTCTTCAGTAAATTAAAAATTAACCTGTATATCGCGTGATAAATATCGATATATCGTCAACATTTGCATGATGTAAAGATAAGGTCAAAAATTTTATTTACTGACGGTTGGACGACGAAAAAACGATACAACTTTTTGAAATATATCGAAATTGATACGAATTCGATACTCTAAAATAAATATCGATATATCGAAATATCACGATTTAAAATTAAAAATATCGATATTTCGGTATATCGATATTTTTTGCCCAAGCCTACTGGAAAGTGTCGTGTGGCAAGCTGGCATCTGGCAAGTTGAAGTTTCGACTCGATTAGGACAAGCAATAAATTGTTCTATAACACTAAGGGGGAATATATGGTAAAATAAAGAAAATAAAATTTACTGATGTCGGAACACGTATTACCGGCTGAAGAGCCGATACGGTTTATAGCCCCTATCATTCAAGATAATCCTACGGGATGGGGTCCATGCGAAATGCCAGAGCAATTTAGAGACATGCCCTACCAACCGTTTAGTAAAGGTGATCGCTTGGGAAAAATAAGTGACTGGACTGTTGTACAAGATAAAAAATATCAAAGTAAGTTGTTATAACATCCTGTATCAATAAGCAATTGTAATCTAGTTAGATACCTTTGAGGTTATGGTAATTTATTTATCCTTATCCCTAATATGTATTGATTGATGTCATTTACCCAGATAAGTACGCATCGCAGTTTGGTGCTGGATCCTCTTACGCTTACTTCCATGAAGAGGATGAAAGTACTTTCCATCTGGTGGATACCACTAGGGTGCAGAAGCCGCCTTACCAACGCGGACGCGCTCGAGGTCAACGAGGACGTGGTGCAAGGGGTGCTCGCACACCTGGTGGCATGACAACACTAAGCAAGGTATTATTTAATGATATATCATTTTTCCTCAGTCCTCCTGACAAGTCACCACAGACACATCTATCCTCATATAATAATACAGATACATTATTGCTCCTGAGGATCGAGTATAAAAAGTTTTCTGATTTTCATCACTCACAATATAAAATAGCAGCTAACTTATGAGCTTACACAAGGAAGTAAATGTTAAAATTTTCAGAGCAATTTAAATACATAAAAGCTGAGCTTAGCTTTAAGTCTAATGTCAGCTAGCACTGCATCTTGATGAATGTATAAATGACGCGAAGTTAGATTTTCTATGGCTTCTAGGTCTGCTATGGATGTAGTGCTTGAAGATCCTGTTATAACCATACAGGCAAACCTTCAGTAGTCTTTGTTTTGGTAATAATTTTATGGTTTTGCTTTACCATATTTTTTTATAGATTAAGGGTTACAAACAAGTACACAGTCTATCTGATGGTAAGTGGATGCGGTGACCCATAGACATTACATTTATCCTCAATTAAGTTAATTTCTTAATTATCCTTATCTTCTCTCTATCTCTATTTTATTTATTATTTATCTTTAATTAAGTATCAAAAGTCTCGTTTTCAAGTTTTGAGGTATACCTCAAAACTTGAAAACGAGACTGTACACCCAGTGCGTGTTGCCAGTGATGACATACGGAACTGAGACGTGGTCCTTCACTGCTGGCCGGATAAGGAAGCTCAAGGTCGCTCAGCGAGCTATGGAGAGGGCTATGCTCGGAGTTTCTCTGCGTGATAAACTCGGAAATGAGGATATCCGCAGTAGAACTAGAGTGACCGACATAGCCCAACGGATTAGTAAGCTGAAGTGGCAATGGGCCGGCCATATAGCTCGAAGAACCGACAACCGATGGGGAAGAAAGGTTCTCGAGTGGCAGCCTCGTACCGGCAGGCGAAGTGTAGGGCGTCCCCCCACTAGATGGAGTGACGACCTGGTAAGATATGCAGGAAGTCGATGGATGCAGGTGGCTCAGGACCGTGCTTTGTGGCATTCTTTGGGGGAGGCCTATGTTCAGCAGTGGACTTGTGAAGGGCTGTAATGATGATGATGATGAAGTATCAAAATGCAGATGCATTGTCATGCCTGAGGACCAAGATGGAATGCCTTGTTTCCAGTAAAAAGGATCTCCAGTTCTCTACACTCACCATATGAAACATAACCGCATTAAGCTGCTATTTTATGCTGGTATTCATATCAAAGTGCTTTAGAAAAGAAACAAAGAGTGTAATTACCATTCTAAGATTTTAAGTGACAATCCCCATATTTTTGTATTGGTAGAAAGAGGTTATACTTGCTTCATTTATCTTATACAATGCTTGCAATTGTGCAATAAATTGAGACTGATTATAACAGTGGAATTGGTATCTTATTATTTGGTGTTAAATTAAGTGTTTAAAAAAGTTAGTGAATTATTTAAGTAATTTACACAGCAAACTTATCAGTGCATTTATATTTCTATTCTGGCTTTGATAAGTGGCAGTGGGCTTTTATAGGCTGTTATGGATGAATGGAATGGATAGCTTTGATAATAATTTTATTGATTTGAGTTAATTTTGTTTTTTTAAGACAAGGTAGCTCAGGAACTTACCTTTCGCTGTAAATTTCACAATACACTAGTAACCTAGGTTCGATCCCCACCGGCACCAATAAAATTGTTAATTGCAATTTTAATTTGGTGATTTACCACAGTGAAGGAAAACATCATGAAGAAACCTGCATGTTTAAGAATAAAAAAAATGTGTGTGTGTACTTATGTACGCACATAGGAAGTTATACTTCTTTACCATAACTAAACAAAAATAACTAAAAATTATTTGATCCTGGTGACAATTAATTGACGGCTCCGTGGCTTAGCAAAGAGTTGCAGAGCTGCGGGCCGCGGGTTCGATTCCAGCAAGAAACAAGTATTTGTATGGCCTACAAATAATTGTTCTGGGTCTGGGTGTTTGTACTTGTGAAATCTATGTATGTAAACTGCCCCAGCGATACAGGAGAAAATCCTAGTGTGGAGGTAACATTTTAAAAAAAAATTGTAATTTGTTTTTATTAAGATTTTTAAACTATATATTTACTCTCAATATTGTTTCACAAAATAAACATACATCCATTTAACCACTTTTATCTTTATAAAGATATAAATAAATATATTAATGGTTTTACATCTTTATGCTGAGAATGCAAAACTGCTACTTTGAAGTGGCAGAAAATTTGTATTATATAAATATAATATATACAAGTATGTTGAATTATTTTAAATTCTATTCTTTCATTTGAGCATGTCCATTTTTAACTTTTTTCTTTGTCGATTATTCTTCTCTTTAATTTAGATATTTTTTTTAACCTTTCCCTCTTTCTTGGTGTCACTTCAACACCACTGATTGATGTGGTATAAGCAGATAAGCTAGGTACAGGTCCAATATCTCTGTACTGATATGTAGAAGATGATCTACATGGAAGATGAAGATCAACCTGGAATTCAAACAAATTAAATAGGCAAGGCAGAATTATTTCACAGAACTTATGTAATGCAAGGGCAATCTAACATATGATGTAGTTTAACAATAATATATAAAATAATAATTCAATTTCTTTACAATTATTTTGTCTACACAATTCTTAATGTATGCAGTAAGATATTAAGAACATTATTTTATTGTTATGAATGTAATACAAAATTTATGAGCTATATATTTTGAAACACCCAATTTTCAGCAGAATATGTTACAGTTTTCATTATTTATTTTACTATCTCTCAGAGAAAAATATCAGATGATGTAATTTGAATTATCATACTGCCTTATATCAACCTCTCCCATCGGTACACCATATATTATAAAAATTAAACTTTTTACTAAATCAATTGTTGCTCTTATAACCACTCTCACAAATACGTTTTAAATGCCCTTTTTTATTACACCTTTGACAAAAACAATTCGCATATCGACATTTATCTTTAGTATGGTTCTAATATCCACAAACCAAGCAGGATATGTTTTTGGTGTAGTGTGACGAACAAAATTTTCTCGGGCTCGTAAAGTGAAAACGGGCTGAGCTGCCGCTGATGATATGACTAGTCATTCATCTTGCAATGACCTTTAAACTGCAACTTGAGCACATCGTATGCTTTGTGCTAATTCCAACACTTTTTTGAATGTCAAGCTATCAATGTTTTCACTAAATAACTTTTTGTTTTCCTCTGCATTCACTAATCCTAGCACAAACTTGTCTCTTAATGCTATTTTAAAACCTCAAAACTGAGTGAGAGGACGAAGGGCGCCCATTTAGTTAAGTCTTCGTCTGATCTTTGTTTCTCTTTAGGAAAAACATGTCTTTCTGCAAACATACATTTATTTGAGGAAAACTGGATGTCGATCTTTTCAATAAGATCTTTTCAAATCTTCTAGTTTTAACTTAGATATGTATCTTCTGCTAATGATGTGAGCAAAAAATCTCGTCTCATAACTCCTGCTGTGTCAGTGTCGTCATGATAATCATTTGTCATGCAGAACTGGACAAATTGAATCTTAAAAATATCTCACTCTTGAATGTGGTCATCAAATGTGAGGTTGTTGCCGCACAACATATTTCCTTTATTTGACATTATTTATTTGTAACTATTTAACTTTACTGCACTCAATAATGCGTGAATAAGGTCCTCGTCGCCAAATAATGTGTATTTATGGGGATTTCACCACTAAAACACAAATGCTGTTTATACCTTTTATTGAATGACAACACAACTGTCAGATCTTAGTTTTTCATAAGCCTACAATATGGCTTACATACTCTACAATAATATAAATAAAACACGTGTTGTCTATTCATATAATATATCCTATAATATTATATACCTTAAATATAATTATCAGTTCCCACAACAACTTGAGAGATAATTATACACTGAAGTTGTCGCTTTTAGGTGTCAGTGTGCGTGCACATCGTAAAAATTCACTCTCTTCATTTTTCCCAAGCGCCCCAAAAGAAGTATAACTTCAAAAATCGCAGACATGTGAAGTCCGCCAACACGCGTTGGAGCAATTTGGCGGACACTTCCTTGCCCTAAAACCCTCTCAGAAGTGAGAGGAGACCCGTGCCCAGTAGTGAGATGTATTTAGGCTGTAACTTAACTTAAAATTAAGTTTTATTAACTTACATTCTTATAAGCCTATAACACTTTCTACAGCAACGTGATCGTAAACTTGGCAAGAGGTGGGGTCAGCGTGGCGCTCCAATGAAGATTCGTGATGCTTCAGTTACTGTAAGACCCACCTGGGTTACCATTGAAGACATGGACTTTCCTCGTCTTGCTAAGCTCTCACTGCCAGGGATCAAGGAAGGTAATTAAATTTTTTTTATATATTTTATAACAAATTTCTATTAATTAGTCTGATCTTGTCAGTGTAAGTATTACTTTCAACCATCAATGTGTTTTATATTTTTCATAGCATATATCCTTCATGATTAAAATGAAAATCTTAAACTATTTTGTTAATTAAGCAAGTTTCGACACTTTATTCAAGTACATAGTTGATCCCTACATAGTTGTATTCCTAAAGCTCTGGCTACACATAGCGACTTGTATGCACAAAAATTTGCGCTAGCAACATGGTGCACTGCACAACGTCTACGCGATAACGTCTTGCATGTGCAAACAATTTGTTTAAAGTTTTCAAAACATATGTGGCGCCCATACGCCGTCTTAACGTTCATACTTGCTTGTGCAAATTAGAATTTTGTGCAAGTAAGATTAAACGTGTAGCCGGGCCTTAAGGATGCTAAAGTAAATATTACACACATAATTACCACCATAATATGGTTGTAATTAGATTGACATACACTGTTGCATCATCATCATCATTATTATTACAGCCTTACACAAGTTCACTGCTGAACATAGGCCTCAAGTTATGCTATAAAGCACGGTCCTCAGCAACCTGCATCCATCGACTGCCTGCATGTCTAACCAGGTAGTCACTACATTTAGTGGAGGGTCGCCCTACACTTCGCCTACCGGTACGAGGCTACCACTTAGAACTTTTTTCCCCATCGGTTGTCGGGTTTTCGAGCTATATGGCCGGCCCATTGCCACTTCAGCTTACTAATCCATTGGACTATGTCGGTCACTCTGGTTCTACTGTAGATATCCTCATTCCTATGTTTACCACGCAAAGAAACCCCAAGCATAGCCCTCTCCATCGCTCGTTGAACAACCTTGAGCGTCCTCATACGGCCAACAGTGAAGGACCACATCTCAGATCCATAAGTCATCACCGGCAACACTGACGCATGTGCATATATAAATATATAAAAGCTTTATATAAATTTATAAAATAGCAGGTGCAAAAATATAAATACGGTAGGTTAATAATAATATTAAGAGACGGACCCGTGCGTCGCTGTAAGTATACAAATGCATATTAATGTGTCAAATTTCAGTATATTTTGGCAGTTAAGCAGTTACATGAGAGTTTACGTATTCAATAATAAAATTATTTCGTCTTTGTTTATTATTATAGTAATTTCTTAAAATAAATAAGTGTTAAATCATCATTACTTACATACAATCTAGGAACTTAGTCAAAAGTAGTGAGTATTAAAGTGTTTAAGTAAAGGAGTATTCTTTTCAATTTGCACATTAAGAAAATTCACATATTTGTTATTGTTTATTTAAATGTCATATTATAGCATTAGCAATTAGCGTGCTAAGGCAATAGAATTCATATGCTCATGAAATTAAAGCATATAACATTAATTACTATTATTGTGTACACTAACAACTAATATCATATAGTTATTTTAAACACTTCCCTCTATTCCTCTATTTTTCCACCCACTCACACAGAGATACTAGAATTATTTTTTCTAATTTAAATGGGACCATACAAAATAACAGCATTAACTTGCTGTTTCACGCTGGTATTCTGTCAGTGTGACCCATCCCCAGTCGAGCCAACCCATTCATGCTACAATCATAATATAGGTGTAGTGTTACTCTACTAAGAAACAAAATATAGTGCTATAGTGTTAAGAAATTCGCTACACTGTTTGACGTTATTATATTTTATTTTCCAGGTGAAGACATTGTATGTTGTGGTACTTTAGAGTACTATGACAAGGCATATGACAGAGTTAATATTAAACATGAAAAGCCTCTACAACGCATTGACCGTATCTTCCATACAGTAAGTAGCATATATATATAAAATATGTGTACCTCAAACCCCCGCTACATGGAGCGACAATCTGATGGAACATGCAGGGAGTTGATGAATGCAGGCAGCTCAGGCCTATTGTGGCAATCTATAGTGGTATGGGTGTGGGTGTTTATACTCAGCAGCAGACTTGTGACGGGCTGTAATGATCATATGATGTGGATCAATATATTTTGTTGTTTTTTTTTTATTTATGTCTTTCATATTAAGTTATAATCAAAATAATTACATTATATTTTTATAATATAAAAAAAACTGTGTGTCGTTAAGACACACGATAGAAGTGACACTTGTATTACAGGGAAACATATCAATTATTCATCAAAGACTTTTGAATAGCATAGATTGTGTAAATCATTCATATTTTTACGTAAAATTAAATATATATGTGTCACAATGCATCATCTTCTTCAATCTTAAGAAGAGAAATTATCGGTTTAGGCAACACTCGTAGTGTTCCACCTCAGTGAATGAAGTAATTATTTTAGATCCCAGTGTAATACAAAATACTCATTAAAGTTTGTTAATTAGGTAATTATCCATTATTTATGTAATTTTATTTTAACTAAACCAAAGTTTTATATAATGTCAAGAAAAATTTATTAAATGAAAATTTACAAATTGTTATTTTAAAGGTCATTTTATCAAACCAAAATTGATTTCATGGTGGTACTTAGAAAATGTAGTAGATAGTGCTATTACTCAAATGCAATCACTCTAAGATAAAGACGTGTACCTTGGTAACTATCGTAAATAAAATTAATAGATTAGTATTTGAACGAAATACCTTTGATTTGAAGAAGAGTAATTATAATTGTATTACTATATAGTTTATGGTATGTAATGGCCTGCGTTCGCGATTTGAATGATCGACCTGAATGACGCGATACGCAGTTTTTACCCCCACCACTTTTAGTCACACATAAAGGTTGAGGATCAGAATTACAAAGCCCTCCCGTAAAAAGTGTCACTTCAAAAAGATGCTGCTAAAAAATAATTTTGTAAAATAATGGGAATTTTTAGGTTACAACCACAGATGACCCAGTAATCCGTCGCCTTAGCAAGACTATGGGTACTGTCTATGCTACAGATGCAATCCTAGCCACAATAATGTGCTGTACTCGCTCTAACTATTCTTGGGATATTGTGATTGAAAAAATTGGTGAGTTACACTGTATTTACATTTCTTGTTTAAAAATGTTTCTTTGAATCATGTTTTTATACAAAAATTCATTCTTTTTGCAGGTGATAAATTGTTTTTGGATAAACGTGACAACACTGAATTTGATTTGCTGACTGTCAATGAGACATCCGTAGAACCACCGGCAGATGATGGAAACTCCATAAATTCTCCTCGCAATCTTGCTCTTGAAGCTACTTTCATCAATCATAACTTCAGTCAACAGGTAACAAACTCAAATTGGGACTCAATCGAGATATTGCAACTACTCTAAGTAGAGTTAGTAAGTCCAGTCTGATACGTATTGGTGGAGAGGAGAGGAGGCCTGTACAGCAGCACAAACATGGATAAGACAGATTGTGTAATGGGAAGGTCTCACTGCAGGACACAAACCAGAACATGTATCTGATCAAGTAATTTCTTAATTCAACCGAGTACAGAGAGTTGCGAACAACATGCTTTTGTTACTTTTTATTAAATGGTTAATGAGATTTTTTGAAAAACCGTTAGAGACCGCTATTTGATAAATTATATTAAGCTCATTTAAATAATTTTCTTTACTTAATGGGACAGTGAACAAACGATTAAGGTAACAATAGAAAGCGGCTAATTTATGTTGCCACGGATGACACGATGACACGGGGATGACCGTTTCGGTATGAGTTGGCTTTCGATAAATTTGGAAAACATGTGACGATTCTTTTCTTGTAAGTCGTTTGTTGTTCGCAACTCTCTGTATGCGGTTCAACCTCAAAGTGTTCGTCGATATGTGAGCAGTTTGACCTACTTAGGCCCCATATCTGAAAAAGTAGCTAATACTCTTCGACAAAACGGCATTTATGTGGCGTTCATTACAAACAATTCTTTTAGAAACATCTCTAATAATAAAGATAAGTTGGATATTCGTCAAAAGTCGGGTGTTTACAAACTTGTTTGTGACGAATGCCACGCCGTTTACGTGGGTCAGACTGATCGCAATTTCGAGACACGTTATAAAAAGCATTTAGCTGCGTACAGGAATTGCAATCCCGATAAGTCCCATTTTGCTAAACATCTTTTGGACACTGGACACAACCTAACCAACGACCACTCCTTTAAAGTCTTACATACGTGTAATAAAGGGCTGCGACTGTGTGTGCTGGAACAGTTAGAGATATTATAAAGTAATAATAGTAACGTTGCACTGCTGAATGAACAAACAAATGTTTCTAACTCTCCTTTCTTGAATATCTTTAAGTCTGCTCTCTAATAACAGACAGCCTCGCAATATGGCCTTTTGTCACCCTCACGGTGATCGGCGAGTGGTTGCGTGGTTGGAGGGTAAGCGGGCGTTGCGCGGCGATTTGTTTTTAATTTTACAAACGGCTGCGTAAGTCCAGCGGTGATTGGTCGCATGTTTGATCGCATGACGCAGTCGTTCGCTCCTTAAGTAGGGAGTTGTTGCGTCAGCGGTCTGTATAAATAGGTGTTGTTTTGGCTCGCCGCTCACTTAGCGGTCAGCCACCGCAGAGTCTAGATTACCTATTATACTATTGTAGTCAGTGGTGTGTCTTTCCGAGTAGTGGTGCTGGGATTAGTAGGGACGGGGATAGTGCACGCAATTGAGGGAGGGCGGGAGGTGCTCTTCAAACTAGGTAAGACACATAATTTTATTTTATCGAGCGGATGTACGCGAAGTAATATTTTGCCAACTTTAATATAATGGAGTCCCGCAAAGTAACGCCTGATGCTATTAATTGTATTTTGTTATGTGTGTTACCGCAGAACTTTTTTATAGGTAAACTGATTTTGATGATTCTTTTTTTTTATTTGATAGTTGGTGCTTTTCATGTGGCCTTATATAAATTTCATCAAGATCTGGCCAGTAGTTTATGAGTTACCCTTAATAATGCGTATTTAATTGATATCGACTACATTGATGACGTTCTCATTTTATTTATATTGAAGTGGGTTGTAAATTTTTTTTTTAATTTTGTACAACCGACTTAACCACTTGTTTGTGTAGCAACCTCGTACTGGCAAGTGCAGAGGCGTCAGATACAAAATTAAAGTATTAAAATAGGTTTGTAAGGGTGGACATGCCAATTTTTTCACGAGATACCTACCATTCGCATCTGCAAGAGCTGCAACCTGTGAAGCCAAAATTATAGTAATAGTGTTAAAGAGCACCATTACCAGTGCTAGGGTATCCTCTCTGTGTACACTCAGTATGACTAACTCTTTCAATAGTTAATGCATGAGAGCAGGCATATTCTTGGAAAGATCTGTATCAAACTTCCCAATTAGATAATTTATTTTTTTACGTATTTTAAAGAATTACATAATTTCATTGTACAAACTTCGCAATTTATAGGTGTTGAAATCTGGCCCAAATGAGCCAAAATTCAAGTTTCCGGAGCCTAATCCATTCGTATCTGAAGAAGAGGAAGGTGAAGTAGCATCTGTCGGTTACCGTTACCGCAAGTGGAATCTTAGCAATGGTGTTGTAAGTCAAGCATATTATGCTACCTATGTTTTTCACTCTATAGAACATGCACATCAACTTACTATAGTCTTCCGAATTTCTAAGCTGCACTTAGTAACAAATTTCTTAATATAATATATTTTCTATATTTAATTTGCCATTTTTGGAACCAAGTGTGATGCCAATTTTTCCTATGACGGAAGTGGCCCATTACCAGCTGTGGATTTTTCTGCATTTTGATTAATCTGTTTAGATGAGGTGTATATGTACCACAGCAACCATCATATGAAACGTGCACTCATTGCCACCAATTATTCTATTTAAAAAATTACGCATATGATAAGATAGCAATAAACATCAGTTGTATAAGTTGTTACCACATGGTTTTAACTATTTCTGAAATTTACTATTAGAAAGAATTAAAAAAATAAACTTGAGTAAATACAGTACTTTTTGATGGTGGTGATTGGACGGATGTTTTTGATTAACACAAATGTTTGATAAATGTACTATACACTGCTTATTATTATTCATCTTATCATGTCCATACTTATGATTATTTAAATTTAATAAAATTGAAGGTACTCCTGTGACATAAAGCTTATTTTTTGTTGACTCGGTGTTAGGTCATTACAATCAAACCCCAGCTTATGATCAGTGGGCTCACAAGATATTTCACAGGGAATTTCATGAGTAAATATATATTATTTAGATTGGATGTTTTATTAGATGCTCCAAAGAAATAAATAAAATAGAAATGCAAATATGTATCTATTAACATCATATTGTTTGCCTGGTTAACAGCCAATACAAAAATGATTTTTTTAAGCAACTATCATAACTTTTGGCTCCTATTGTTCTCTGAATCACTTAAAATATTATTAAATGTTTTTATCAAATCCACTTATTACATAACATCTAATAATTATTAATGTATTCTAAATTTATTTTGCAGGTGCTAATAGCACGTTGCGAACACGACGCGGTAATGCAGGGTCCGCAAAATGAGACCCAATTCCTATCTATCAAAGCACTAAATGAATGGGACTCAAAGTTGGCGAATGGTGTGGACTGGCGTCAGAAGTTGGACACCCAACGAGGTGCCGTCCTCGCTAATGAGTTAAGGAATAACTCTTGCAAGTTAGCTAAGTGGACTGTTCAGGTAATAATTTATAATAAAATTGACTATGGTAATATTTATTCTATTTTATCTTTGTCATCATTGTCAGCCCGCAAATGTCATGGGCATCTCCTATTGTAGAGATTTTCCTTAGTTGTTATGATTGGCAGGCAGATTGTCAGGTGCATTACCCTATTTTTCACACCTTTGACCACGCCACGCCTTTCCCCTATGGAAAATTTAGACCGTGCGGTCTGTGAGTATTTTACACCTGTCGTAAAAGGTACAATAATATCTTCTTGTTAATCATTTAAAACAATTCGCTGTATGAAGTGATTTATTTTTATAGAAAAGGTGCAAATGTGCTTGCGTCTCACCTGATAAGTGGCTGTCGTTCATAGGAACAACTGTAACACCAGATGTAGGTGCATTGCCGACATTTTGTAGCTCTTTTCTTGAAGGTCATACAACATTGTAATTGTAACTACTATATTATAGCACTTTTATATTAATTTTTTTAAATAAATTATCAATATTTAATATTACTGGTTTTCGATGGCGGTATATACCATTTCGTTTACCTGTCTTAAAATACCTAGGGGACAGGAAACACCATGAATGGTGTGAAATGTCGCCTGCCAAGCTTGACTTACAATTAAGTCAATTACTCTCTACAATAGGAGACGCTAATGTTTGGCCAAGGTAAAATAGCAGCATAACACTGCTGTTTCATATGACAAACTGAGGAATTTTTCGGATTAATCCCAGCCACCACATTTCACAATCGCACATCGCAGAAGAACTCCCGATACCATCCACACCATCTGGATGATTGGCGGTCCACCACTGTGCAATTTAGATGTTTTCTTCCTTGCACAACTTCCTTGTGGAATAGTTTACCACCAGCGATTTTTCCAGACTGATACGACTTAGGGACCTTCAAGAAAAAAAAAGTGACCAAAACTGGAGAGTGCTAATTTGCTGGGTAAACATGGCTTTTTAACAAATCCTTCCTACTGTGGGTGAGGTTCATGCCTAGCTCTGGGTTGCTGAAGTACAGGAAAAAGGCACTCATGGTGATTCCTTCCGTACACTCATTGCCTATAATGAAATGCTTAATAATATATATCATCTTATGCTTACAGGCATTGTTAGCAGGCTCGGACCAAATCAAGTTCGGATACGTATCCCGTGCTCAAGTCCGCGACAACTCGCAGCACGTGATTCTCGGCACGCAGCAGTTCAAGCCTCATGAGTTCGCATCTCAAATCAACTTGTCTATGGACAATGCATGGGGAATACTGCGGTGCATCATAGACATTTGCATGAAGCAGAAGGACGGTAAGATTTTTACGAATTATCAAATTGCACACAACCTACCTCTACCTCTACCCCTAAAATCAGTTAATTTTAGCTCTTGTCATTTTATTTATATACGCTAATTTTTAATAGCAACTACGTCCACAAAAAATAAATTGTAAATCTTTAATAGTGGGCTACTTAGCCAAGAAAAGCCTTAAAAGGCCCAATATACATTTCAATTATCGAAAAACCACTTGATTTTTAATATCTCTTATAGTTTAAGAGATAATCCTTAAAACATATATTTTATCATATTACAATTTTACAAAAGAATTCACCATGTTTATTCAGATAGAATATAGTCTAGATCACTCCTGGCATTGCTTCTATCTGTTTGTGAGGTTTCATCACAATCGATTCAGCATTTTGACAATTAGCCTAGATAGACTGATAGACATAAATTTAAAAATGGTTATTCATGTCTTAGTAACATCAAAATAACGCACTAAGTTTAATAGAAACCAGTTATTTCGATATTACAGACAGGCACTATGCATAGATTAATTAAATAAATATACAGATAAAGCGCTCCGACAATCTAATAAGATAGGCATTATACATACAAAACCCAGTCTTGAGCCGTCTGCTTCCTACATAATTTTGTTACATACATCATGAAATATGCCCATTTTTCACCTGACTATGTATAGAAATGAATTAAATCTTAAAATTCAGCTAATATAATTGTAAATTAAATACGCTTATCACAATGTTAAAAGAAACGCAGGAGAAAAATATTTTTTAATATTTAAGCTTATTCTACGTCAAGGATAAACATATTACCACCATATTTTGAATGCATCTCAACTACCCTTTTTGTAGGACGTTCCATTTTTCACACTGCTACTTAACTTGAACTTAATTGAATTCTGTTTCTGAGTTTTAAACATTATATTATATTTTATTTACTCAGTAAGTATTTCTTTATTACTCTTTGTATAGTACAGATTAAATAAAAATAAAATAATAATTAAATAAATTAATCATGCAGTATGTCATTGAGTGAATTGTTTTTTTTTTTGACATTTGACAGTTCTACGATTGACATCGATGCAGTCCTTCGTTATTGCCAAAGAGAATATAATCACTTGTTGCGTTTGCGTCGCGTTGTGTATTGCGCCATTTTGTGTGTTTTATACACAAGATTTTTCTCATTATAATCTGAGAAAAATCTTGTTTAAAAAATCTCGGAAGTGGTGATAGAACATTAATAAGAGATAGAAAAATTAAGTATTTGGTAACGGCAAATCCTAACCTAGAGTAACATTAATATTTTAGGGTTTCGTAGCGTTTAAATCGTAAAAATGACTACATGACATTATTTTCTTAACTTACAGAAAGTTTTTCTACTACACCTTATACCACCACACCATAAACTTTTACTATCAGGTTTTTAAATGTATGAAAAGTGGGCATGGTTCTTGGTGCAGTTAAAGTTACAATAAATAATGAATTAAGCAAAAGCACATCTGGCAATTGAGGCAAATCCTTCTCACAGTAAGAGAAGCATATATCTAACAGTGGACTGTTAGAAGTGTGCATAATTTAGATGACGATATTCATATATGAAATTGTTTTATGAAAATAATCTTATTACTAAATAACCTTCTTTCAACAGGTAAATACTTAATCATGAAGGACCCCAACAAGCCTCTTATCCGTCTGTATGACATCCCAGACAATACTTTTGAGTCTGATGCGTCTGAAGAGAGTGGTGATGAACAAACCGAAACACCTTTTGCCCCGTTATATTCTTACGGAAACTCTAAAAGGATTTAGACTTCTCGTCGCCTTTCTTTTTACCTACTTATAAAGTAACCCAATAACTAATTGTACCTATATAACTCAATAGTATTTCGAAGCTGTTAGCTAATCATATGTATTACATATTTTTATTGAGAAAAATACAATTTTTTGGTCACACACTGTGTTTTATTAACAACAACAATAAAAACAATATTTGTACAAAACCAATACTGGAAAGGGATCAAAAATTAAATTAATTAAAAAAAACTTGGTAATTATAAATTACTCTTTTCTCTTGATAATTCAATATTATCCTTAACATGTAACATTTCCATTTCTAATTTACTTTCCTCCATGTATTCTTGTATTTCTTCTAATGTTTTACCTTTTGTTTCGGGTACAAAGAAATAAATGAAAAGTACCCCAAAATAAGCTATACTCGCGAATGACCAGAATACGGTGTAATGTCCAAACACGTCTTTGATACCTTGGTAAGACTTAGTAACTGCAAAATTAAAAACGCATGCCATCATAGTAGCTCCACTAGACGCTACCGTTTTTACGTTTATAGGGAAAAGTTCCGCTTGCATTATATAAGGTATATTCCCTAAGCCAACTGTATATAATATGTTAAAACCTAATATACCTATTAAAGGTACAGTAGATATAGAGGAAAGTGTTTCTGAATTTATTAGCATCGTATCTTGCAAATAAAAATACAAGCCTACAATCGATAAAGAAACTGCTACTCCGGTGCAAGATATAAGCATAAGAATTCTTCTACCAAAATAACCAGCTAGGAACGTGGCCCCCACACCTGAAAAATAAAATACAAACAAAGTATATATGGGGAATCCCCTCGAAATAAAAAACACGGGATTTTTTTATGAATTCTGCTCGACGAGTAAAGCAATAAGTGCAAACTGGAGGGCATCCTAGAAATGACCTCCGATTAACGACGGTGTACCTAAAGGTATGCCTAATGAATAGGCTTTAAGATATGTGTCAGTGCGCTTTACCATTTGATATCACCACTTTCCGGTTACGGATAACAGTCAAGCACTGGCTTATAACTTACGTCAGTTTTAAAAAAATGCTCAAACTGGCGACGAGGAGCGGCATCAAAGGCAAAGACGTCTGGTACCTACTGCTATTTCGTTAAACATGGAGATTACGACACATACAATGGGGAAAATACACGTCTAGTCAAAGACAATTGCTAGCTGAATGTAGAAAAGAACTTTTGTATTAGGGTAAATGCTTTTAGTCCAATAATATCTCTCGCAATGATGTGCCGAGGCGGCCATTTTTGGTATTCGTTTAGTAGTTTGGTACATAACATATTGTTTTTGGTATTGGTATAAATTTTAGTTTTTGTATAAACAATTATTGGTCTATATGTGAGTAGTTTTTTTTTTTGTAATTGCCGTCAACTCTCAAAAATTAAAGTTACGGCTTAACAGTAAGCAACGGCAGGGCAGTTACCAGCCCGTAAAATTTGCTGGATGCTCACATATACACCTAAAACTATGTGGTCGGTTTGGTTTTTGCATCAAAATGTACGCAGCAATCAGTCTTTCTTTCTTTGTTGGTCTGAGCATTTAACAAAAAAAAACGTTTGTCGAACGCCGTATCTACAATCTACTCTATCATTTGACAATTAAGTTATTTTTATAATGATCGGAGGAAGAATAGAAACGGCTGTAGACTTGATGGCATTTGCCCTTTTGTTCGGTCTTATCGCATAAACAAACAATATCATTAGTATGTATTAGTATCAGATACACTAATGTTGTGTTTGTTTATTTCAATTTTGTTGGTAACCATATGGCTTAGTGGTTAAGTATCTAATATATAATAATAACCTAATTTTAAAATGACAGTAAAAAAATATGTTTGCAATGTTCTTATTTCTTACACAGAAATACGCAACAAAAATGTTTCCATTCCACTCAATTACTTATGTACCTACTTCAATTAAAGTACACTCAATTTCACCTGGAAACAATATTTATAAAAAAAAGAAAAACTATTGGTATTCGGGCCTACCGTGATCTGTTTCTACATTCAAGCCTACCAATAAGTTAAGACGAAATCAAAGAGTGGCTCTGTCCTTATAGTTTCCGATTGTATTTGGAAGTTAGCGCTGTCACGCTTTGGTCGCAATGGGCTATTATAGTCGAATTTCATATCGTTTGTTGATGCTATTTTCAATTAAAAAATGTTTTTTAAAAGCATTCTGTCACAGCAAATTAAAAAATTGCTGTGACAGAATGTGGTTACAAGTGCCGTATAGGAGGAACCGTACACAAGCTTATAATATAGACAACTTACCAGCACCCAACTGTACAAATCCATATACAATACTGGCGTATGGTCCTGATATCGAACTGCTTTGTCTAAAAATAACTTCTAAATAAGACTGTATCGCCAAACTCCCAGTCATATATTGCAATACTTTAAGACCTGCAAATATTAATTGCAATTAATCTAATATATAAAAAATATTTTTATTTCTTCGTATTTTATGCGCTGCCATACCGTTATCATCAGATTGCGCTAAAACTTATTCAACTTATTGCATGCACTTGTGAGAAGGTTATAGGCATATCACAACTAACTTACAATAGGTGGCGTGCGTATCGTACCGACAAATTTATTTGAAAATTATATGTACATCACTCAACTTCAATGAATGTATTATCATTCCTAATTAAACAACTCTTCCAAATTTAAAACGATATTTCGACAGTTATTTCTTTCTATGGCAGCAACGCACCGGGTACCAGCTAGTATCTATTAAAATATAATTTAATGTATAATGTTTTAAACAAATAATGTGTTCATTTAATTGAAACAAACCTTATCATTTCGTTAAACTTCTGTAAATAATGTATAATATATACTTTGTAAATAATATCTAATGCCAAGATAAGGTCGTGATTGCACGTTATCTACTTACTGCACAGAATACATACATTATTAATCACTAAAATAAAATTTATCTACTAGGTACTTATCTTTTAACTTTCCAATTTGTTATGGACTACACCCGGTGTTTTCTAAGCGGGGTTGCGACTCCCATGGGGAACACAAATGCCTGCAAAGGGGGGCGCGTAACATTTGCTATATGGTATCTAGTGGTAGTGTCTACATGTGTCAATTAAGGAAGTATCTTAACCCCCCCCCCCCCCCCTATCTCATCCTGTTCTTGCTGATGATTAAGGACTTGCGGTCGTCAGTGCTGCTAAATGCCTCATATTCCCACGCTGTCTAGAGTCTGGATAACGTCGCTGGCATCGAGGTGTTGCAGCGAACCATTAATGCTGTGGCCGATTGGAGTGTTAACTCACTCAACCCCCTCAAATGTAAGCTTTTGACGTTCTCGATCTCTGTTATTTGCTACCTATATTTAATAATGTGACGCTCCATTGGAAAATGGTATTAAAATAATATGTAACTTTGGACTGATTACATATTAAACATTATAACAAGAATATGTACCTATATTCTTAGCGTTCTGAATTTGTTTTTCTCCTTATATTAACTGCCTCTTGCTCTCTCATGCTTAATTATTCTAACGTAACATTTTTATTATTGTTTTCTATTTTGTGACATTATTTTTAATTATATACCATTGACACGTACTGATTTAGCATAGTGGTGTGTAAAAACTTAATCTTAGTAAAAAAGTTTAATTTTTTGAATAAAATAGTCTAGATCCCTCCTGGCATTTCTCTCTATCTGTTTGTAAAGTGTCATCACAATCGTTCACCCGTTCCGAAGATTAGACCGGACAGACAAACAGACACACAGACATAAATTTTAAAATGGCTATTTATGAACCCCCTGAGTTTCAAAGAAGCCAGTTGTTTTAATATTACAGACAGACACTTAAATAATATTTATATGTATGGATTAAGTTTTATATTTCTGAACAAGTAATCGTTATGACCATTATACCTATGATTATATACACAGCCTTCCTGTATCTCTCTTTAGTCAACAGTTCTTTAATCGTAGATTTGTTTTCCATACTATCCCGTACATGAACTCGAATTACTGACAATTCTTCCTCGGCCCGCTGCAATTAAAAATAACTTTGAGCGACATTTTTATCGACAAAGTGGCAAAAAGATAAATATGTATATTCTTTGCTTCCATATTATTACCTTTACATCTTTGCAGCCCTTAATAATCATAAATTCCTTTTTAGCGGCTGCAAATCTCCCGTCTTTGAGGTGATAGTACGGGGATTCCGGTATCCATAAAGAAATGGTCAAATTAAAAATGGGAATTGCCGTCAATATAGAATTGAGTACATTATACGACACAAATGGCCCTATTCCATACATAGCAAGTGCTCCAAGATTGATCATCACTTGCACCAACATACCCAAAGCTCCTCGAATTTCTTTGTCTGCTATTTCTGTTAAATAAATCATTGTCACCTGAAATTTGCTAAATTATGTCACTGATAAAAGAATTCAATTTTGTAAAAATGCCGAATCACAACAAACTTGTATTTATTCCGAGGCCTAACCAATCGAATAATTTTATTTTATTATTAGCTTTATGATTATTATTATTATTATTCTTTATTTCAGAAATTTCTTTTCACAGAGTGAGTTAGTAATTACAAAAAGACTTATAAGCTAGAGTTAGTAAATAAATAAAATTAAAAAGTTACGTATTTTACCTACTCTATCTACTTTATATTAACCAGAGCAGGTCGCGAGCCGATATGGACTCTGTTCCAGTGCCTCAAGATAGGACAGCAATAAGTGTTTTGATGGTTTTTATTAATAATTACTAGGTTTAGCTGACTAACAATAGCTGCAGTGGGTTGCGATTGGCTAAATATAATGATATGATAATAATACATATTTCACCGGATGTCATTGATGAAAGACTTGGAAAAGGCTTATGACAGTGGACAGGGATGTGTTATGGCAAACTCTGAACTCATTTGGGTTGAGCGCTTAGGTGATACAGGCATTGAAGTCTCTGTATAGGGACTCCAATGCTTGTGTCAGGATCAACGGAGTCTACTCGGACTGGTTTGGCATCCATAAAGGTGTCAGACTGGGCTGTGTGGCATCCCCGTGGCTGTTCAATCTATTTATGGACAATTGTTTGGAATATTTGAAAGTTGAAGAATGCGGGTTAAGAATGAGTGAGTTAACTGTCAAATGCCTTTTGTACGCCGATGATCAAGTCATACTTTCGTCGTCAGCGGTCGAGTTCCAAATGATGGTTACATTAATGATAATTTAAAATTAAAAATTTTGTACAGCCGACTTCAATATAAGTTATTTAAGAATAACTTAAAAACTATTGGTCTGACCTTGATCAAATTCATATGGGACCACACGAGAAGTACCAGCTTTCAAATAAAAAAAGAATCATCGAAATCGGTTCACCCAGAAAAAAGTTCTGAGGTAACACACATAAAAAAAAAAAAAAAAAAAACGAAAAAAAAAAAAACATACAGTCGAATTGAGTACCGGCTCCTTTTTGGAAGTCGGCAGAAAAGGTCATTAAAAGAAAGGGAACGCACGTAAGATGAAAGTTTGGTTTTTGAAAGAGAAAAAAGTAAAACGATATGTGAAATAAGAATAGAAGAGGAATTGGTCGAGCAAGTAGATGAGTTTGTGTGTTTGGGATGTGTATTTAGCAGGGATGGTAGATATGATAAGGATATAGAACGACGAGTGAATACAGGAAATAGAGTAAATGGGACTCTACACTCTATTGTCGAAAGTCATAATGTGTCCAAAAAGGCACGTATGGCAATTAACAATGGTGTTAGTCTCTACTTTAATGTACGATAGTGAAAGTTGGGTGTGGCAGAAGAAGCACGAGAGTAGAATAAATGCTGTACAAATGCGGTCATTAAGGAGTATGTTAGGGATGAATCCTAATGACGACAGAGTGAGAAATTGTGTGATAAGAGAAGAGTGTGGTTTGCAAGATGATGTTGTGACCGGGATTAAGAATGGAATGCTTCGGTGGTTTGGTAATGTAGAAATAATGAATGAGGAGAGTGACAAAGCAAATTTATGTTGCATAGGCGAAAGTTTATCGACCAAATTGGCGATATATTGAAAATGGGCCAAATTAAGTGTACCCTTAACCAACGAGCGTGTATACATATGGATGTGGAGGAGGCGAGAGAGGTGTGTCAGGATCGTGCCAAAATTGAAGTCCAAAGTCTCTGCCTACCCCTCTGGGTGACAGGCGTCAGTGTTTAAGTATATTATTTATTTTATTGCTATACCTGATAGTTGATTTCTTATTTTTGACAAAATCTACAGCAAAGGGTATGCGATCACTACGTTTTAGTTTACAGAAATCATAGTCATTTATTATTCGAGCTTTACGAGACCTTGTAGCAACAGCTAATACACCTTATCATCTAACCTATATTTAGCTATGAATAAATCGAATTCAACCAAAGGATATCGGCTGCATCTAGTTGTAGGCTTGTAGGTAGTCGCCTTAATCCAAATAGCCAGATAAATAAAATAATTATATGATTCGTCCTATTACCGAATCATTAATCCCTTTGTAAAATTAAATATTTATATTTTTATAATAATGTAAGTACTAGTTTATCTCATAAAATATTTAAAATTTTAAAACGATAAAATGTTTAATAACTTACCACAGCGGTAATCCCATTTGATATTCCCATCAATATTCTTGCGATGTACATGATCTCAGGCATTTTTGTTATCAAAATCATTAGCTGAAAAGTATTTGAATACAGTATAAGAGAATAAACCTTCTACCTATAATACTTATAAATTTAGGATTTCTATAATCTCGAATAACGTTTGTAAATTATTAAATATTGTTTGTACCAATCTGTAGTTTGTTTATTAGACGTATGGTGGTGGCATAAGTTAATTCTTCACCCCATTCATCCCATGGGGTGGTAAGAGGCGCGTTCCGATAGATGACGACCTCTCGCATACGTTAAACGTAAAATATTGTGGATATTTCCGGCGAAGGAAAGCGGTGTCAAATGTTCGAAACGTCTGGCTCTGCGATCGCCATTCTGACTGCCAACTTTAGTGATTAAAGCAAATCCTCCCAACGGGACAGGCCCTTGTCCAGTAATAGACTTTAGGGGTAGATGATGAAGAAGGCATATTATATATAGTATAGTATAAGAGGGAATGCTCTGAACTGGATTAGCAGTTACCTTTCTAATCGTCTGCAATGCGTAGAAATCAGTAAGATAAATAAAAGTCATGAAATAGATTCATTTAAATCACCTCTTCTATATAATAAATACGGTGTCCCACAAGGGAGCGTCATGAGCCCATTGTTGTTTCTAATTTATATAAATGATTTACCTAAATTAATTAATTATCCATCAGTTTTATATGCAGATGATTTATCAGTAGTAATTCCAAAGCGTGACAAAGCCGTAAGCTACAACCAAACCATGAATGAAACACTTAAATATATAAATGAATGGCTACTCCAAAATAAACTGTGTGTCAATGTATTAAAATCAAAATTTATACAGTTTTCACATTATAATTCAAATCGAGTGAATCTCAAAATATTTTGCCAAGAACAAGAAATTCAAGAAACAGACGATACCAAATTTTTGGGTATTAGTCTTAACCAGCATTGCAATTGGAAGACACACATACAAAGCGTTTGTACAAAATTGTGCAGATTCGTATGTCCTTAGGCGTTTAAAATGTACAGCTGGAGAAAAAACTGCATTAACCGCATATTACGGCTATGTTGCATCAGTGCTGAGATGTGGCCTTATATTATGGAGAAATTCTCCATATATAAGTAAAGCATTTATCATACAAAAAAAATGTGTAAGAGCTATTTCAGCAGCAGGACCAAGTGATACTTGCCGACCATTATTTCAACAATTTAAATTATTGACGTTAACAGGCCTCTACATCTTAGAAGTAGGACTTATTGTTAGAAATCATCCACAATTGTTTCAGAAATTTGAAATGGTCAATCCACGGCTACGCCCCAGAGACACTAACCGCCTTTTGGCTCCATCATGTAAAAGCTCACTTTTTGAAAAAAATTGCTACATGATGACTATTAAAATTTATAACAAAATTTCCTCTGATATCAGGGAGTTATATTCTCATCTCTTAAATCATTTTTAACAGTGGTAGAGCCACGCGGCAGCTTTTGCTGTCGCACGGATGGGCCGGCTCAAACCGGGGTGGTACCACGATCTCACAGAATACCAGCGTGAAGTAGAGGTTTACCTCTACGTTTCGCTCGGTGAGTGCAGGTGGCCGGAGGCCCTTTTTACTGGAAAAGAGGCATTCCACCTTAGTCCTCACGGGTGACAACGCATCTGCATTTTGATTCGCAAACGAGGATAGATGTAGATGTCAATGGGCCACAGACTATTATGCAAATATTAAATGGAATAATATTTGCATAATAGCCTGAGATTTGTAAATTATAATTTTATTGTAATTAAAATTATGAATTAATTTATACTGTAATGCAATAATTAAAATAATAATAGCTTAACTTATCTCATATAATGTTTAATATTAATCGTGTAAAAATAATTCAATTAATAATATATGAAAAAAATGAATTCAAAAATCCTTTATATTTGAATGGGTCTGTATAAGAATTTAATTGTACATAATATTTGAAATCAAAAAGAATGTTTCTTCATAATTTTTAAGTAATGATGAAGTAATTTTAAAATGTAAGATCTTCTTCATACTAGGTAAGACACATCATTTTATTTTATAACGCGGATATTTGCGAAGTAAATTTTTGTAAAAGCTTTTATAAATGTAAGATTGGCTTAGTGTAATTAATTAGTTGTATTTCATTAATATTTGCATTCCAATTATGGCAAAACATGGCAGTTCCACATCATTGGCCATCTTATGTACTATGTTTTAAGCAAATAAATGTTCTATTCTATATAAATTTATATATAACTAAATATTTAACATACCGCACCTATAATTCCGGGAACGGCTGCGCAAAAAATTGTTCGTCGTCGGCCGACGCGTTCGCTTAAGACATGGCCTATGTAACAACCAGGCAATGCACCCAACGCCGCCAGTGCTACCATCCATGATATCTGTGTCTATAGAATATATTTTTATTAAGCTATGTAACTTTAGACACCATGCTTGCCGTTGTACGAGGGCGGGTAAAAAGTTCGCGGAATGGAAGGGTTAGAGAGGAGAGGGGGGATTGTTTTAATTGTCACTACTTGGTGACTCAATAAAACTATAAATACAAAATTTATTAACCTTTGAAATAGCACAAGAGAAAAGTACATCGGGAAGTGAATACCGACTATGAAACTAAATGAGTTTCATGCTGTGATTAAGTTCCTCGATGCGATTAAAGAAAAAAGAAGGAGAAAGTGGTCTCGAGGTGTACTCCTTTTACAACGCACCCGGTTCACAAGTCATGTTTCGATGGCGTCCTTGCGCGATTTCGAAACTTTAAATTATACTCCCTATAATCCAGATTAGGCGACTTCGGATTAAAAAATATTAAAAAAGAGCTTTAGGGAAAGAAATTTACAGAGGATGAAGAAGTGAAATTAGCAATTTCTGCCTATTTTGAGGGCCTTGACAAAACATATTTTTAAAGGTATAATTAAGTTATTTGAACGGCCTGAGAACACTTCTCGGACTGATTAGGGTTTATGGAGAATACGAGGGGCGACTGATAAATTTTGAGCCTAAGTACCTTCAAGTGTCGTTATTGTCTCGCGTTGTAGGTTAAGTTATTAATTTGCGAATAGACTCCTTAGTATACATACAGAGTTTCACATCATTAGCATAATTACGTTTTTAGTAATTAATCCGTAAACATCATTATGTCTCAGTCATACGCGCATTGTACGAAATTGGCGTACAGACCTGTTATAAAATTCGTCACAAAGAAGAAAAAAACGGCGACGGAAATATTTGAGAGATGTCGACAGTTTACGAGGAGTCTAAACCTTTATTTGCCATCGTTAAATATTGGAGCTGAGAGTTCAAGCATGGCAGGGAGTCGCTATAAGATGACCCCAGGTCAGGGTGGCCAAACACTGCTGTTAACGAGGAAAATATTGAAAAAATAAAGAAACTTGTTCTAGATGATCGGCGAATCAAGTTGTGGCAGATAGCTGAAGCCATAGGCATTAGCAAGGAACGAATGGGCGATATTTTGCATACTCATTTGCACATGCAAAACGTGTGCGCACGATGGGTGCCAAAAATGCTTACTCCGCTGGAGAAGCAGCGTCGAGTTACATACAACTTCGCAGTAGTTTTCGGACATCTGTGGCGATAATGTTCACGATGTTTTTTCTCGCATTGTCACTGTTGATGAAATATGGATCCGGTAGTACTATCCAGAGTCAAAACAAGAGTCAATTCAGTGGATTGAAAAGAGAGAAAAGTCGCCACGGAAATTCAAAGTGGAGCGATCGGTATCCAAGCTCATGGCCACTGTTTTTTGGGACTGTGAAGGAATTTTATAAATTGACTTCCTTCCTAAGAATAGTGCCCTGGATTTGAAGAAATCAATCAACCACTATACAACCTAGCTCCCAACGATTTTTACTTATATTCAAATTTGAAGAAACACCTCCGCGGACGAAGATTTTCGAGTGACGAAGAAATGAAGAAACGAACATTTCGAAGGCAAGGATGGCGGATATTTTTTCACTTGGTTACAAGCCCTTTGTCACAAATGTAAGAAGTGCATTGAAGCAGAAGGAGATTACATAAAATAGTAAAATAAACAACAGGAAAATCAATTTTGTATACTGTTCTATTAGCATTTTTAATACAATAGGCTCAAAACTTTACAGCCGTCTCTCGTATATCGAAAAGGAAAAATAATTTCATGTTTAATTTCACCCCCTTTTCCTTTCATTCCGCGAACATTTTGACCTTCCCTCTTAAGTTGGGATTCCATTAAATCAGCCCTTAAATCTATTCTGTCGTCAATTTAACAGTCAATTTAACAACAAGTCAATTTTATCAATATGAAAATCTAACAATGTTAATAACGAGCCTACTTATAAGTATCATATTAACCATCCTATCAAGTTAAAGAAAGAGGTCTTAGGTATAATTTTTTTCGTGTTTAGATACAAGTAGTAATTAATTTAACCTTTTTGCATTACCTTCACCAGTTTGGTATTAGCTTTGGTGCAGAAGTGCTTATGTGAAGAAATCTTATGATGGATTTCGTTACTCATTTGACGTTCAATTGTTGTTTAGAATTTTTTTATGTATGAGAATGAATTAGTTAGGCATAACCTATCTAATCTAGTACATAACCTAGTGAGAAAGAATTATTCTGGTACATAACCTACCCAATTCATTCTTACACAATTGTTGAAGTAATTAAAACGTGTTAAACGCTAAGACAAACAAAGAAATATAGTCGGAGCGCTGCGTACCGACATATCAAGTGACATGCTCAACTATTAACACGAGCCCACATGCACATCTTTCTTCTTTCTTTCTTTATCAATTCGTAAAAATTCAATGCTGGGTACACACTTATGCATCCATGTTCGCATCTCAGGGCCGGGGCACCCCAGTATAAGCTTTATCTGCTCCTTCCACTTGAGCACATTTAACAGAGAGCGGGCCGAATCGTCGACGACCAATTTCTTTCCAAACGGCTTGATCCACTGGCCTTGTCTTATCTTAAATACCACTAGGTTTTTTCGGACTGACACGACTTAGGACCCTTCAGGAAAAGAGCCTACTCCTTTCTAAAAGGAGGGCAACTCACATGCAAATTCCCTGGTGTTGCGGATGTTCATGGGCGACGGTGGTTACTTAGGTAGGTGCCATCAAGTGAACCGTATACTCGTGTTAGCCTCCCCTTTCATAAGAAATGTTGATTGCAAGTTTTTGTAGCAAAGTTATGGTTTATGGTGAGTATGGTTTCCGCTTGGTTTTTTTTTCCATTTTACGCAGCGCTCCGTCTTTGTTTCTTTGTCTGAGGCACTAATTAAACAATATTTTAAAGTTAAACATTTTATACAATCGACTTCTATATAAATTATTAAGAATGTATCAAAAACTATTGGTCAGATCTTGATCAAATTTATATGGGACCACATGATACTTTCAAATTAAACTTGCTTTAAATTAAAAAAAAATCATCGAAATCGGTTCACTCAGAAAAATGTTAAGAGGCTGAGGTAGCACACATAAAAAAATAAAATGCAGTCGAATTGAGTACCGTCTCCTTTTTTAAGTCAGTAGAAAATAAAACACTTTGATTTAACAAAATGATGATGATATGTCTGTAAAATTAGGTTCTGTGATAAATAATTTATTTATTAATAACATAAACTTCACAGTATAAACTTACATCGGTGAGTTGTAAATTTGCCGAACCACTTTTGATCTTTGGAATCACTGGCGACGGCCATGAAATAGTAGCTCCAGTAAAACTAAACGCAAATGACACTACAAGATAAATAGTATTTACGTGAGTCAAAACTAAAATAAATAAGTTTTTTAGAGGAAAATGAATTAAAAAAAAATATGAAAATCCGTCGAAACGTACCGCATATACCAGCAATGTATTGCACTATTCTATTACCTAGCTTACTCATATTATATTCATCTATTTACGACTACAAAAACATAAGCACAAGCGGAATTTAATTAAAAGAACTTGTAAATTACTCAATAAATCGGTCAACTACTAGTCAGCTATCATCACAGAGTATCATAATATTACTGAATACTGAAGCTGAGGAGCTATATCATTCTATTCTACGCATCCGCACGGTTCTACAATGCACATAACCACAAATTAAGCAAAGTATATACTACTCTACTATTCTCAGAGTACCATATAAATTGTTAGCACATATCACGTACAGAGTAAATTTTTATAAACCGTAAATATCACGGCTTGTCATGCACATGGCACTGCCTTATCAACTATGAGTAGGTAAGACCTTATCTAAGCATATCAACGAATCGTATCATACATACAAATATGGGTTAGTTAATGCATTCTGGAAGTAGCCATAATTTCGTATATATGTTAAGAAGAGTAATAATAGATAATTAAATTGCGACGAACCTCGACAGTCGTTTTAAAAACACAATTTAAAATATAAAAGGATTTAATGTTCTTTCGAAGGTGGTTAGTTACAGAATGAATTAACATTAATGTTAATAAAATAAATCTAGTACAATTATCATATCGTCTTACATTACTTTAGAATTATCACTCGAGTTCTCACGCATATGCTGATGTGGCTATTTGGAATATTGAGCCAGGCACGGATTTAGGCGATATAACTCCTCCCTCCACATGTTCGGGATTATCCTCGGGATTATCTCGAATTTTATAGATTTCAATTAATTTATGTTTAAAAATAACACTTAAAATAATTAATATAATAACTAAAATAATAATGTTAACTAAACTAACACTTTCATTAGTAATTTCACTTTTTCCATTTTCACTTAACTCACTGTCACTAATTTCTCCCATACTTTTCTGCAGTAAGAGATTCAGGAACTATACGCCTGCTATATTAATTCCATCGAGATTCATAGGCTTCTTCAGAGTGATTAACGGGTTGAGTATTATCTTTGATAAATTTATTAATGGCTTTCTTAGGTAGGTTATTTCTTTACCTTGAGTCTGATATCTTTTAAGTTCGTATCCTTTGATTTTCACCTTGCAGTTATCATCCATAGTTAAGAGGTAGGTTCCTAGTAGAATCTCTTGGCTTATTTCATTGTCGCAGAATTTAGTCATAGCTGTTTCAGTATTTGAGTAAACTATCCAGCGATTTGGTTGTATGAGGTAGATCTTCACATTTTCAAGGGTGACAGGGATCGGGTGACAACTTGAGATATTTGTGTGAAACTGCATGATTTCTACGACACAGTTGTCATTGGTGAAGAGTTGTATGTCGTTCTCATGACACAGGAATCGACGTTCGTCGACCTCGCGACATGACTGAGAGAGCGGTGTTACTTTCAACCCTTTCACAAGTAGGTACGGATTTTTAGGTAGGATGAGAGTCGTCTGGCCATTATGTAATACAGGTAAGGGAACTAATTTATCATCATCATCATCATTCATCATTACAGCCCTTCACAAGTCCACTGCTGAGCATAGGCCTTCCCCAAGGAATGCCACAAAGCACGGTCCTGAGCCACCTGCATCCATCGACTTCCTGCATATCTTAACAGGTCGTCACTCCATCTAGTGGGGGGACGCCCTACACTTCGTCCGACGGTACGAGGCCGCCACTCGAGAACCTTTTTTCCTCAACGGTTGTCGGTTCTTCGAGCTATATGGCCGGCCCATTGCCACTTCAGCTTACTAATCCGTTGGGCTATGTCGGCCACTCTGGTTCTACTGCGGATATCCTCATTTCTAAGTTTATCACGCAGAGAAACTCCGAGCATAGCCCTCTCCATAGCTCGCTGAGCGACCTTGAGCTTCCTCATACGGCCAGCAGTGAAGGACCGCGTCTCAGTACCATAGGTCATCACTGGCAACACGCACTGGTTGTACAGTCTTGTTTTCAAGTTTTGAGGTATACCTGACGAGAAGATGTGCCGTAATTTCCCGAACGCTGCCTAACCGAATTGAATCCGTCGATTGGCCTCTCGGTCGAAGTTGGACTTACCTAGTCGAACTATTTGTCCCAGGTAAACATACTCGTCAACAACTTCGAGCTTAGTGCTCCCAACAACTACCGGCATAGGTGTGATATGGACATTAAACATGATCTTTGTTTTGTCCATGTTCATCTTAAGACCTATCCGTTGGGAAACACTTTTGAGGTCATTGAGCATAGTGCTTAGGTCCTCCAGCGATTCTGCCATAATGACTATATCATCGGCAAATCGAAGGTGAGTGATGTACTCGCCATTGATGTTAATACCGTATCCTTTCCAGTCCAGAAACTTGAAAACGTCTTCTAATGCAGCGGTGAAGAGTTTCGGGGATATCGTGTCACCCTGTCATACACTTTTCTGCAATTGGATAGGTTTCGTACTCTGGTTCTGTACTCGGATAGCCATCGTAGCTCTACTGTACAAGCACTTCAGCACTTCGATATACCGACAGTCAACTTGGCATCGCTGAAAGGACTGCAGCACTGCCCAAATTTCGACGGAATCAAAGGCTTTCTCATAGTCCATATACGCCAGACATAGTGGCAAATTATACTCCTCGGACTTCTGTACAATTTGCCGAAGGTTATGTATGTGGTCTATGGTGCTAAAGCCTTTTCGGAAACAGGCTTGTTCGGGAGGCTGTGTGGCTGGAAGTCGTCAAGTCTGCGCGCGAGACGATTCGTAATGACTCTCGAAGACAGCACGTAGACGCGGCTCAGAAGGGAAATCGGTCTGTAGTTCTTCAAAAGAGCGTTGTCACCTTTCTTGAAGAATAAGACCAACGCACTTCTGCTCCACGCCTCCGATGTAGTGCCACCATAGAGGACGGAATTAAAGAGCTTCTGAAGGACTTCAAGTACCGGTTTTCCACCCGCTTTGAGAAGCTCCGCTGTAATTCCATCCTCGCCTGCGGCCTTGCCGTTTTTAAGGTGCTGGAGAGCCATTCTAATCTTGCTCAGACTGACGTCCGGCATATCATGGGAATAGTGTTGGATAAGACTCGCTCTTGGATTGGTTACTCACACTTATGTGTGGCTCCAACGATGATGTGTATAGCTGCCCATAGAACATCTCAATCTCACTCAAAATCTCAGGTGTCTCGGAAACGACGCTGGCACACTCGGTCTTCAGCTTCGACAGTTGGCTCTTTCTGGCAGACAGATCTCTAGCAAAGACTTTGGAGCCCTGGTTCCGCTTGATTGCTTCTTTAATACGAGCAGTATTAATGTTGCGTAAGTCCCGCCGCAAACATTTGGAGATCTGTCTGTTCAGTTGCCTGTATGCTGTCAAATCTACTGAAGACTGCAACTTCATATCCCGTCTAACAGCCATGAAATTAAGAGTGTGATCCTCCGATCAAACACAAAAACTCTCCAGTTTTTGTGTTCTTCTGCGGCGGGTCTTGCAAAACTTAGCTCCAACCGCATGGACAGTTTTCACGAGCTTGTCATTAATATCGTCCACTGCATTGCAATCTTCTAGGCATTGAAAATGGTTTTGTAGCTCGAGCTGAAAGGTTTCGGGACTTTGGATTAGAGCACGAAGGGGACGGAGCGTCGACTTCATTAGACGTGACCTCACTAACTTAACGTTTAGGTTCAGTGTGCATCTCACCATTCGGTGATCGCTGCCGGTTTTCACCCACGCGATCACTGAGACATCACTGAACAGTTGTCGTCTGGTCGTCATAATGAAGTTAATCTCATTTTTTGTCGAACCGTCGGGGCTCGACCAGGTCCACTTCCTGTGGGGCCGCTTCTGGAAGAAAGAGTTCATCATAAAGAGTCCCTCTTTCTCCATGAAGTCGGCCAGCTGCTGGCCCCTTGGGTTCCGTTGCCCTATTCCGAAATTCCCTACTTTCAGCTCACTGTTTTCTCTTGTGCCTAGTTTCGCGTTGAAGTCTCCCATTAACACCGTATAGTGGGTTTTGGAGGAATGCATGGCTCTAAAGATATCCTCATACATTTCCTCCACCTCCTCATCGGGGTGTGCCAAGGTTGGTGCGTAAACCTGTATGACCTTCAGCGAATACCGTTTGGTGATTCTGAGTATAAGGTACGCAACCCTCGTCGACACACTCCCAATCTTTACAACGTTGTTAACGAGAGACTTGTGGACGATAAATCCGACACCTCCTTGGGACAGATGGTCGCCCTCCCGGTGATAGAACAAATTGCTGGATTCGAGGATTACCGTGTACTCCCCCTCTCTTCGGACTTCGGATAATCCTATGACATTCCAGCGCAACTTGTCTATCTCTTCTTCCAGCTCTACAATCTTCTCGTAAGTCTTCAGGGTGCGTGCGGTATAAGTTGCCAGGTCGAGTCGTCGTAGGTGGCAACCGAACCTCCACCGGAGATTCTTAGCACCCCCTGCTCCGCCGTTACCATGGTCGCCACCGTAGCCAGGAATAGCGGGGCCGCCGGGGACTGGGGGCCGTCTCTTCGTTACTTTCATGGGGGGTATATTGCCATAGTTGCCACGCTTGGCGAGCGGGTTGGCAATCGCAGTTTTTTTTTATTGTTGTTCTGTTGTTATCAGAAAGATGCTGCTGCCCATCCTCTGCCCCTGCAACTAATTTATAATAGTTAAAAATTTCATTTCTAACAAGTGGAAAACTCATAATAAACTTTATCTGATTCTGTTTAATATAGGCTTTTATCTCGATACATCTTTCTAATTTTACAATATTTTCATAAGCGACAGGAAACACTAATTTATCAGTTTGTTCTATTATTATAAGTTCTTCTGTATCAATTATTGACTGGTGTAGTACATTAATTTTACTAAAAGCAATGGCTGTTTCGATTTAATTCAAATGGAATAATAAATTATGAAAATTATCAAGGAAGATATTATAAAGGTGAATGAGTTTGGTAATCGTTTGTCGAAAATCGGAGTTGTTTAAAGCTTGATTAATGTTTTGAATATAATCTTCTAATCGTATGAAATTGCTTTT